GCATCTTCTAGTTTTCACTTGACTATATCCTCAGCTATCATCTCCTTAACACCTCTCTCTATATTAGTATTTCGAGTATCATTGCTTCGGTACTTATACCTCGATTACTTAGGTAGAATCTGAGCTTGAGTACCACTTTGAACAGTACTTGGTAGATTACTGTTATTACTTGCTGGATTACACAAAGTGGTATCTAAAGTACTATTTGTTATAGAGTCTAGTGTACCACCTAGTAAGCTAGGAAGAGAAACACTATTGTCACCTGGAATATTACCCAAGGAGTGAGAGAGAGCGCATTGTCACCTAGTGTTCTACTGAGGAAGCGAGAAGTAGACAGAGACTTGTCACCTAGCATTTCACACAGGGAGCGAGAGGCAGAGAGATTTGTCATCTGGCATTACACCCAGAGAGCTAGAGAGAGAGAGAGATCAGAGACACTAGTGGGGATTGAACCCCAAGAGCAAGAGAGAATGTTATCACATAGTGTTTCACCCAAGGAGCTACATAAAGAGAGATTACATATACCAGTAGGAATTAAACCTGAAGAGAGTGAGAGATGATTGTCACCTGGCATTCTACCAAGAGAGCTAGACAGAGAGAGCGTATTGTCACCTGGCATTACACCCAGAGAGTAAGAGCAAGAGATATTTGCGATATTACTAGAAATTGAACTCAATGACCGAGACAGATAGTGGGCTCATGGCACCTTACTCAAAGAGCCAGAGAAAGGGATACCTGAGTCATCTTCTTGTAAGAAGTTTGATAGAATAGTAAGTAATTCAGCAGAGTCCACACACTGACTTATCGCATTTTGCTCTTCCACAAATGTAACATGCAAGCTGTGAAACGAGTGTTCCAATTCCCTGTTTCTGTCAAAGTCCCACAGTCTCTATACCTTCTCTGTTGGAGTATATCCAGTTAGTATGCAGAGTTTGGAGCTGGTTTGAATTTACGATCCAATTTCGAACCTACAACTTCATTGGGAATTTAGTAGTATGCCGTATAGCCAATTTACCTGAGATGTGATATCTGTGCTGCTGTCTCATTGTATAGTACAGCGTATGGTAACTGATTATTGGATTCTCCATACCCATTATCACACCTAAAGTGTGTGATATTATCTTACATGTAGTGAGACTTGATAAAGGCTAGTATTTCTTGAAAGCAAAGAGTAGACTCAGAAGATTTCTTGGCTTTCAGAAAGTAGATAAACATCCAATAAGCCAGATCATTAATAAAATTTGGAGAGTATTTTGCTGCAGAATGGGAGGCCAGAAGAGGAGCACAACTATGCGAATGGAGGAGAGAAACTGGATGATTTGCTCGAAGTGCTGGGACTTAACTTCTTGAACAATGTTATTTTGCCAGAATATACACTAAACAAGGAGTTAAGAGTGGTTCTATATTCAGTCCAAGCTGAAGGAGGGCAGCAGAGATGAGATGAGTGAAAATATTTGATGGTAGAGTATAGAGTCAGGTAAATCTGACTTTGATGGAGATGTTATGAGAAGCACTTGAGATACTAAAGGACTACTCCTCAGGCCTTCTATTTCATGATTACGATAGTGGTCTAAATGCTCTTCCCAGATGTGTAAACCTTCAGTAAGATGTCCTTATATTATCATATACCTTGGATGGTGATTATCTGCTTCTCTCTAAGCCCTACAAGTTTGGAAAACAAACTCAACCATCAGCTGAAGGCAGGCAAGTTGTATAATAAATATAAGGGAGAGTCTAAACTCTGGAATATAGAATACCTTTACTACTAAGCTGCGAAGTGACACTTCTCCTGACTGCTATGTAGTAACACCATTATAGTTCTCAAGTCTAATCATATTTGTATTCAACATTTCCTGATATAAGAGCAAGGATGATTTCATATTGTATATATGATGGAAGGTCCCTAAAATAAAGGCCCAAGGAAAAAGAGGGAGTTGGCTAATAAAACAGAAGTTTGTACTGGAAATACATCCATCTTTTTATCCTCGCAAGTATCAGTTGGCTAGTCAGAAGTGATTTTAGAGAGTACTGAAGTTCTGATCATCTCCGGTACTCATCTCAACAACTTGACTTGTAGTCAGTTTCATAGACATTCCATCTCCAAGTTTCATCCACTTTGAGTACACATTGTGGCCTTTGGCTGCTTGTTCCTGTGAGAGGTTTGAATGAGAACATAGTCTTGTTCCATGTCTCAACTTACCATAGGCAAAGTAAGAAACTAACAACTGACTGCTGAGATCAGTCGGATGAAGGGATCATTTTGGAGTACTGCTGTGCATTGTGGCTAGTTTCTGTACAGGCATGGCATCAGCCAAGAAAAGCAGCCTTGTAGGGTGCAGTGCCTCTACTCAAACTATGATATCCTCTTCAGTAAGTACCATGTGTAATCCTGTAGTTGCCAGTTCCTAATATGAGAGTATTGCCAGAGGCAAGAGAATAGTTAGCAGAAATTGCACTGTCCATACACGCTTTGGCCATCTCCACATCAAGAACTTTCTAAATAATATCTTCTATAGTATTGCTACTCTCCTGTTGGAGAATAATTTCGATTAGAGTATTGTAGGTTGATGGGAGGGAGGTAAGCAGCTGATTCTTGAAGATTTCCTCATCAATATCTTGTTCTGAGCCAGTGAGCTGTTGCTGAAGATCATGAAACTACAAAATAAATTCACTCAATGGCTTTCCTGAAGCTTGACAACAGTCAGGAAACTGTTTACGAAGTACTAATCGTCTATTAACAGAGGTGGTACTGTTAAGCCTTTCTTTAAGCACATCCCACATAGCTTTTACACTCCCACAGCCAGTAAGATAGCATTTGGCTGATTCTGAGCAGCTGGTATAGATTACACTAATTGCATTAGCCTCTAGAGAGTCAAATTCCGATGCTGAACTGCTACCTTCAGAAGTGGATGCTGGAGTCACAACAGACTCTATCACAATTCCATAGACATTGATATTTTTAAGTTGTATGGTTACTCCAGCTTGCCACTTATTGTAGTTCAAATGATTGAGTAACAGAATAGGACCTGCATGCTTCAAGAGAAAGAAGCTCTCCTTAGTACTCACGGCTGATAGTAGGTACAGAATTAGGAGTGGTCTCAAAAGCTAGTAGAAACGGTAATATAGAAAAAAGGAAACAGTAAAACAGTGATGTTTGTCAAATGGTGTGAATGCAGCAGATGAGGTATCTGAACAGGCATCGAACCCAGGCTCATAACCTGTTAGAAATAATCTGTGATAAGTTAACACTACAAGTGATAGATGGTATAGAGTATCTGCACAGCTGATTACTGAGTACTGAGAGTGCAGAGAAGCTTAACTGAAAGTGAGAACCAGAGAGAGAATTATTGATCAAACAAGAGTTGTATTAAGACCCATGATATTCTCAATAAGCTCTTCTCAACATCCGAATAAGAAGAGAGAAGAGAACTTGTGTAACATGACTCCACGGAGTACTATTACAGTTAACCAAACCTATACCAATACCGGTATCAAGAGACTACCGTGGTAGGTATGGTGGTAGACTAGAGTCTACCGGCTAGAGGTACTGTTGATTAGAAACCTCGGTTAGGCTTGCTATACTTTACTAAGAAGTATACAGATACTAGTAAGGAGCAGTAGTTACCCTACTCAGTAGGGTAACCTAAGTAGTCAATTTAGGAGTTGCCCTGAATTACTCAATGGTGAGTCTGGGTAGAGTTACCCTACCTTTGGACTAAAGTTATCCTGCCTTAGGCTGTGGGTTACCCTGTTATGGAGCCAAGTTACCCTATCTTGAAAGTAGCTTATTATGCAGGACTTCGTGGGGAGTTACTAGATTGTTTGTCACGCGAAACCACACAGGGTGTTCAAATCTCAGGTTGTACAAATCACTCCTGCACAACCAGTTGAGCTCCGAACAAGCTGTCACTTGGAAGTATGGTGGCTAACTCCCCCCCCCTCCGGCCCCATTATAAGTCCCTGGTATCATGGGCTACAGCCTGGGGAGTTGCTGTAAGGCTAGTAAGAGTCTTCAGGTGGAGGTGCTCCTGTAATACCGTATACTTTCCCTCCGTCCGTCCGACTGGACGCTGTCTGCAGGATATACGAGGGGGCAGAGGTGAACCTGGAGAATGGTCTCCTGGTGGTTTCGTGTAAAATGGACCAGAACCAATGGAGTAATACTACTTTAAAGTCTAAGGTAGTATGTGAGGTTACCTAAGACTAGTAGGTGAGGTAACTAAAATCTGTTGCCCTGAAAGCGTAATAGTATTGAAGAATCGTTAGGGACTCTGAGATACTAGTCTAAGGTTATGATAAGACATGTTTCTAGGAGGGTTGACTGTGGGTAGCGCCTACTGGTAGTTAACATCCGAAGAGGTCTATCGGGGGAGCTATGTGGCCATCATCCGGAATGATATGGAATAGAGTAGAACCGGATAGATGTTCAGGGGCTGCGGATGCTTGTAGAAGACTAAGTGTATATGGGTAGAGAGTTCTATAGTTGGTATCGCATCTGCTCGGGCATGGCAGCTCGCCACTGACATGTCCACAATATGAAGAGTTTTTACTCCTGCTGTTTCATTGTAAATGCAGCAGCTAAAATACTTCTATCGGGTAGATGTTAGCAAACCACATGAGCAGTCTAGTTTGCTACGGGAGATCTTTAGTCCAACCCATGGAGGTTAGCTAGGCAGCCCAAGGGAGTTGGGTGCTCGCGAATACAGAGTAGTAATGTGGAGCAACTGGCAGTATATGAAATCTACTTAAGTATATGCGAGTTCTCCTCTACTCTGGCAATCAATTACCTCTCAAGATTTGGACTTAATTGAGTAAAAGCTGTGGCTTAACGATATTAAGTTTTACCGTTTTGTTTCTTCAAACTCTACTGTTGAGACTTTTGACATTTATTATATTTGTTCACTTTACGGAAGAATTCATTTCGGTGCGGTCGTAACCTTGGGATCCATCTTCCCATAGGGAGCCCCTGTTACAACTTGAAACAAAACCAAAGGAAAGGGTACAAGGAGAGCAAGCGAGCTGTTTAACCACCGACATCCAGGTAATCCTCATGAACAAGCTTCCGCAAACAATCCGTAATATCCAACAGGTATCATCCACAGGCTGCTATGATAATAATAATAATATTATTATTATAAATTAAGGGATCAAGATGATGGCGACGGATTGAACGCGAGTGAGGCATCATGCAACGAATGCTATCCAAAACCAACTTCATAATTCATAGAGCCATAAGAGCTGTATCATGTATAAAATAAAATAAAACCCAGACCCGCCTAATCCCAACTGCCGTAAGAAATGAAAACAATCAAGTAAAATAAAAACGCCCTTACCAGACAAATGTATCCGTAAAAGAAACTCATAACAACATCACTCGTAACTTAACCAAATCCAAACTCCATCCAAAGAAAAATATTAAAACCAATAATAACGAAATACAGAGCAGAGTGTTATTTCAAAACTCATTCCCCCACCGGTCGTACTTCCGATTCACGGCGCCCAAGAGCGCTTTCAAGATCATCTCACCACTAACCCTCTCCCCTCTCCCGGCGCCAGGCGCTTCCACGAAGGGCGTGAAGTCAACCATATCCCTGATACCGTAGATCTCCTCGAGCGCGTCGTCCAATTCCTCCAACGCCTCGCGCGCGCCCTCCTCGTCCCCAATCTGAATGAATTGTATGCCAACCTGGTGCAGTGGTGCGTTGAGTCGGTCCAGGTTCCGGGCGGCAGCGACTATAACGGACTCGGGATCGTCGGTCGGTTCACCGTCCGTTAGTACGAGGATGTTCAGTGGCTTTGGGAGCGAGGCATACATTGTTGGGTGTGGGCCGGGGCTGGTGGATGGGGTATAGGCGGCTTTCGCATCCGCGTACTTGTCCAGGTACTCTCGCAGGATGCGGTCTAGACAAGCGCCGGTTGGTGTTATTCCTGCGGGCTGAACACTGACGAAGAGGTCTCGCACGGAGGCTGGGGAGGTGACATGCTCGTGGTCGTACTGGGGGGAGTTGAGAAAGTGGATGTCTATGCCATCGGAATCGTACTTGGTGGCGATGGTGGCGATTGTTTCGAGGGCTTGGCCGAGCTGATCCCAACGCTCGCCTGCCATGGATGCCGAGTCGTCGACTACGAAAACTGTGTCGAAGGTTTTGAGGAAGTCATACTGATTCTCGCGTATTGAACCCCTATGCTTGCTCAGACCAGGGCGACGAGCGGGTTTGGGTGCTTTCCTCTCGCTCGGACGGTGGCTTGGGGACGGTGCACTAGAACTGGAACCATCCGTCCATTTTGGCTCCTGAACGATGGAATCGCTGCTCCCAATCTCTACCGCTCCTGGGTGGGGCGCGAACTTTCCCGGGGCAACAGAGTCGCTATGGCGCCCCTGTGGTCCATCCGGGATCGACATGTTATTGGCAGGGGAAAAAGCGATGTATTCCGTCTCGTCTCGACGGGGAGTAACGGGATACGGGGGCGGCGGCCGATAAACGCGTTGTGAATTTGTCCTGCGAGCTCGCTCAAGGGGCGAGGGGGTTGGGGGGGTGGTCTTTATAAGCGGCGTGAGAGGGGCTTTTATCGGTCCTCAAAGTCAGCACGAGGTAACACCATCTCCAAGCGGGACACTCACGACTTTCCCCATGATTCCGTCGATTTCCTTGAATCTCTATCCCACCGGATGAAGTGATTGATGAGGCACTACTAGTTGGGCTATCAAAAGTCACGGCAACCCGTTTATGTGGGTGGGATTTCTTTGGTTCAAACTCGGGGTCTATGACCCTCGGCGGCGATCGGCGACCTTTTTCCTGGGAAGCAGGGGTGGTGGAAGCCCTCCTCCTGCGGTGTCGATGGCGGTGCGGGGCTTCTTCCTCCGAAGGGATCCTAACCGGTACATTCCCGCCGGTTGGACTAATGGTGTAATCTTTCTTATCATGATGGTGATGGTGCAGATGGTGATGATGATGATGACGGCGCGGGGTTTCCTCGTCATGTGCACCCCCATCCCCACCTCCACCTCCACCTCCACCCATGGCATATGACAGGCGACGAAGGGCGCTCATACTCATACTCGGTCTCGTCTCTCGGTGGAAAAGTGTGGGAAGTTTTGGTAAGTTTTTGCGTTTTCGAAGAGGAACAGCAGGTGTACTAGGACTCGTACAGTATTTTACTCGAGCACCGATTGGGGCTGTGTATTAGGGGTGTTGATTGAAGTGAAGATCAAGCGCAGCGGATGATTCGTCTCATTATATATTCCAAGTGGTGTGCGTCTTTCCCGAGGGCTTGGTGAGGTGAGCGATACAGTGTATGACTGGTTCCAGTACGGGGTGGTCGAGGCAGAATTCTTCAGGTGCTTCCAGAAGATTTCCTATTCTGCCATCAAGCCCCCCTCCCCCCCCCCTTACTATTGATTTATTTTCGTGGATAACACATTTCTCCCCCCTTTGAGTTTTTTTGCTACGGCATCCGTACTCTCTCTCGCCCTCGAGATATTAATTTACGTTAAACGCATAACCGGCACTCGCTCGTAGCATCCGATAGATACCCATGGTGGTGCTGAAACGAAAAAAGGTCCGGATAAACAATCCCTTTTCCACAAAATACCAGCCTGACAAATGAGAAACTTCAAAGGCTCCGGGGAAAAGGCGGCGGGTGCCGGCACAGGATATGACGAAGGTGACGCTTGGCAGCTCCCTGGCTTTCTATCATATAAATATATGATATAGTCTAGTATTCACAGTGGTAGGGTGCGATAACAAGATGTAAATTATAAATTATCTCGCTCGGCGAAGGTGCCGGTGTTTACCGTAGAGGGATTAATTCTTTGCACCAGTACTGTACCCGAGTAAGTAGGTCTATCCAATTATTATGATACCGCACAAAACAGTGGACGATGATATCAAGGGCGGGGTGCGAGTAGTGTACAGTAGTACCGGTACTGTAGAGTTCATGAAGCCTCACTCGCGCCAAGGTGATCCGGTCATGCGCCATACCTCGTTTTTTACCTCCAGCATTTAAATTAAATTACCAATCCCTCCCTCCCGCGCACAGCGCTTTTAGGGGGTGAGCATATGTGAGGCGAATCCGAACCTCACTGGCCAAAATTGGGAAGCGTGTGTAACCAGCTACCATAACAGAAAGACTACGGTATCACTTGTAAAAGCCTCTGCGCGATTGGTCTTTGAATGGCCAAGCAGAATAAGGTAGGTCCAGGGTGGTAACTGGCCCTACTCGAACATTTACTCGTATGTTGAAAAAAGTCTTGGGACATTTTGTATTTGTAAGTACCCGTCATGACGCAAAATCATCCCGTGACTTTTTTAAGCTGCCAAGCTCTGTACCCTAAACGTTAAAATTCCTGTTCCGCTCTAGTGTCCTTGGCAAGGCACCCTTCGAACTCTTGGTGGGAAGAGGGTCAGACGAAACCTCCTCTGCTATCATAGTACTTCTAGTCGCAACGGCCTCGCGATATTCCACTCCGTGATGGGTCAATAGGCCCGGAAGCGGATCAGAGCAGATTCGCCTCAACTCACTGGTACGGTACCTTGACACCATAACTCGTATTTCGCAAAGCCTTAAACGTTGGACCAGAGATTGCCCATGGGGCTCAAAATAAGGTATGAATAATCGGAGGTACTTGTAGTCGTACAATTCTGAGCGTCGTGGAACAGTGTTATATCTCCGCCCCGACCCCGCGGAAGTAATTTCTCTACAATGCCGTATCTCCATTACACGGAAGATCGCTTGGCGTCACACGATGCCCGAAGACTTTTATGGGGCCAACATACCGTAGTCTAGATCTAGATCGGTAAATGCTGCTCCTGAAGCTTGCATAAGCTACTCGTATAATACTCACTTTCTAAGTTTTTTTTTTTTTTTCGTTTACATACCCAACTGTTCTGATGGTTGCACCGAAGCACCGAAATAGCGAATCCCTTCCGTCGAGTTGGCAGCTTGCTTGGAGGCACAAGAGTTTCCGTGGATACGTGAACCTTAATATCGTACAGTACCGTACTCGAGTGCGGTACTGCGAAAACTCGATTCCACTCCACCCATACTCAGTCTTACTCACTACATCCCGGTGGGCAATCTAACAATCGATATCATACCCGGCACTTTTGCATCCTGCGCAAAACACATCACACAAATCAAAGTGTAACCGATATAAGCACCCTACGAAAAACCGCAAGTCGCACCTGGCATGCAGTACCCTACCACCCCGCAGGTAAAAACGCAATGCTCGAAATCGCCATCTCGCGGGGCGGTGTGCGGGCTTGAACTGTGCCTATCACATTTGCCAAACTTGAACATTGAAGGGTTGCATCGTAGCAGGTAGGGTATCATAGTGAGGGATGGACTCTGCATACTTTCGGGTAGGGCTGTTGGGGACATGCCCTGGGATTGTTGGGTGGCGGGGAGTACATTCTGGACGTGAGATTAATTGGACTTACAATTGAAGAGACTCGTTGTGAGGGGTTGTACGATATGATGCTCACAAAGTTACGCTCGGGCAGGGTCGGGGGGGGGGTTCTTTAGTGCTTTTATGCGTTGGATGGCTGTCATACGTCACAATAAATACCGCTCCGAAAGGCTACAGTGATACCGCTATGACATGGCAATTTTCAATGTGCGATATCCCAACTCGACCGCGCACCGCTCGCTGTTCCAGCTACGATACCGTATTGCGGTAAGCTAGAGTAGACCCCGCTACTGATTGCAGTCATGACATCGCAGCGTCCCAACAAGTTAGCCCTGAAACCACCCCCATCCATGGATGTCACCACCCCTCATCAACCTTATTTCACGGCACGAAAAAACTTCGTCCTGGGAATCCATCTTCAAACCCACCGAGTTTGCTCTTCCTTCTCCAGTTCCACCGTCCTGGGTAAAGCACTCAACGCGAAACGATGGGTGGTACTCGAGTACCGTAGAGTAGTCATAGGCACCCTATGCAAGGGATGTCCAGCGTGTACAGTACTCGTCGAGCGTGATTACCTGCTCTCTGGCGAGTACCGGTACCATACCGCGAAATCTCCTTGACATTCACCATCTCCGGCAGCCCTACAACCTCCGGGTTCTGAGTCAAAAAGGCCCTGAGAAGGATCAGCGCTTTCCCTGGAATAGTATAGTACGAGTATAGGATCAGCAGCCCTCAAGAGGTGTTGGACCTCATTAACTGGTACGGTAGTCTAGGTACTTGTACAGTATTAGTGAACGTTGGTTCACCTCAGCTTGCCCTGTGTGGAAGGGAGTTCCCGGATTGGACAGCATGGCTTTAACGAATGGAAGATGGGGATAAAAAAAAAACCATGGTAATCAATTCATAGGACAACTGGGCAAGTATGAAAGGTTAGAAATAGTATTGTGTGAAAAAGACACTAGCACAAGAACTAGGCAGCAACTATGGATACGGTCCCTTGGCAAAAGTGTTTGTGAAAATGGGAGACCTGGCAAAGTACAGTAGATTCATAAACACTTTTGCCCGGGGATTTGTATATCGACCACTACTGGGACTTTTTCCCTGCAGCGCTGGTGTCATCGTGATGGATTGTGGTGATTCTCCCTTTGGATGGGGTGACGACCATCTCCGTGTAGGCTTCGAAGCAGATCCACCCGGGGACGATAACCCAGATCACGTTCATGAAAAAGAGGTAAAGCCAACTAGAAATGTGATTCGTTAGCTTGGCGAGAGGCGAATGTGCGCAACATAATAGTCTAAGGGATACAAACGTGTGCATGGGATTGCTAGTGTTAAGATTCTGACTACCAGTGAGCCACTCAGGAGCGAAGGTCATCCATCCTACAACTCGTCCGCCTCAGTCAGCCACTCCACATTTTCCCCGGCATCTCACTACTATGACTCTCGATAGCGGTAGCAAAACGTACCACCATAAAGCTCCGCCACCGCAAGCACAAGCATCCAGAACCAAGCACTTCTATTCTTCCTCCTAATCAACTCAGAAACCCACCACGCCAACGGACCCCCCAGCAAACCAGTAGGAAGCTCTAGGGCGAGAACACCAACATCGGCATGAGCCCACCGCCTATCAGCCTTTGCGTACTCCCGCCACAAATGCCCGAATAAGCCGGTGGCGTACTCAGCTCCATAAGCACGTGACAAGTCACCCCACAACACGTTCGCACTGTTTCCTGTCAGGCCGGTAGGGGCCGATGAGAAAAAGGAGATGTAGAGGAACGGACACTCGAAGAGGATGTGGATTAACGCGTCGAAGATGTGCCAGCCATAGAGGAAGCGGGTCTTGGCAGAGGTCCCAACGGGGAGAAAGTATTTGGTGGAGAGGTAGGAGGATAGCAGGAGGGAGGTGAAGAAGAGAAGAGACAGGATGGTTGTCCCATCGATTACTTGGAGCAATGATGGCGGAGCTGCACCGACGGTCATATTTTTTTGCGGTGGTGGGGGCTTTGAAGAGATTTGGTTGTGAGGAATTGAAGTGCTGTTGGGTGAAGCTTTGTAGTTGCACCGCTCATGAGTAATTTCGTTGCTATCATAATACGCTTCACTGGTTGATGGGGAACGGTGTGGTACGGGAACACAAGGATAGGGGTATCAATTGTTGGGCACAGTCAGGCTTAATGCACATGCAGGTTCAACTGGACCAATCACTGGGTTGAGGAACTCGGGAGCCCTTCCCCGGCCAGTCTTTGAGAGCAGAAGGTACTGTACCGGTAGAGCACTGCGCCAGGGTCCGTTGATGACCCGGCCCAGTGATTTGGCGTTTTTACTTGTAGGTGGTCGAGTGATTAGACATGGTTGGTTAATTGTCACAGCTGCTCACACCGGGCTTCAATTGCACCTCTCGGTAGTCCCTTAGACTATCGTCCACTTGCTTGCTTACCTTATTCAAAAAGGGCGGAGAAATCTTGGCGTTTCCTATTCCAAAAAATGTGCCAAGATTTCCCGATACTTTGGGAATGGGTAGAGGCTAGCTTTTGGGAGTTTTCGAAAAGAAGAGATCTTCGGCCTATCATCAATTTTGGAAGGTCTGTCAATTGCGAACTGGCCAGTTCATTAAAAACAAGTTTTTATGTCTTTCACCATCACCGCCAGCCTCCTAATCTCTCAGTTTTCAGAAACAAGAAAACAAGAAAACCCCATAAGAAGGGTTAATGTTTTTCTCGTGTGGGCAAGCCTGAACATGCGGATTGTGTTGGATCTCATTAACTGGTATTCTTAATTCTATTAAGCTGTCAGGCTGAACCTATCGTTTGCTGGTGCCGGGATTGACGAGGTTAGAGGTCTGGCGGAGATAGTGGATAACACGAGTCCCTACGACATTACCCTTGACCAGATCCCGGGTTAGATGTCTGGGAGAAATGAAATATTGGAGACTCTGGATTCTAATTTAGTGCTCATTGTGTGATTGCATGTCATCCGAAGCGAAAAATCTGACCGCGGGAACATTACTCTAGAGAGGACGGTTAAAAAAAAAAAAAAAAATCAATTTTTCACGCAAATGAAATTACCAGGTGTGTTCGTGCCTATAACGATCTTGGTTTTCTACCGTTTACCAGGGGTGGAAGGTTATCATCACAAGCACCATATCTCCTGTGATGGTGAAGACGACTGTTTCCCCTACGTCGTGATAGAAACCACCGAGTAGCGGCGATCGGTCCTATAATACCGATACGGTGGTGGAAAACCTGCGAGTGGCATGACTATCCCCCAACAATGTGACTTTTCAGTACCCTGGAGCTAAGAAATAGTATCATATCTATCCCACATGGGTCAACTACGAGTACAACAGCAACGGCTTTTGCTTTTACCCCCAAGTGGCCCGTCATTGGGGACTTTCAGAGCTACGGTACCGTGAGCGTAGGAATCCTACCAAGCAGGGTACAACTTCGAGGCTATCCACTCTGGAAAGCTCAATGAAGGAGGAATACCTAGCGAGTTTCTCTCGGCGTGATGAATCTTATTCAGCCCCCCCCCCGGCATAGCAGTTATTTGGCTGTGCCGGATCGGTCAGCACGATATAGCCTGTCGCTAGTATCGGTTATATCACAAATACGGTGTGTAACTTTTCAAATGTTATGATAACTTCGCCCCAAATTTTCCCAATGACGAGTGATATTTGTTGAATGGGGAAGTGTGGAGGACGGACGATGCGTGGAAGATGTGTTCGTGTTGATTGCTCTACAGAAGGGATGGGAAAGCACCCCACTATAAGTACGGCCGTATGTGCCAAGCTCTCAAAGGGTTGACCCCCCAAACACCTCCAAAGCACAATGAAACAACCAGACATGTGTGGTTACCCGGATATACTCGGGGGATGTATCAAAAAAAGAGGGGAAGTGTTACAAGACATCTTAGATCAATACCTGTTACACTGAGTGATCGGTGATGATGGCGGACTTTTGACATCACAGAAAACGAATTCAACTACCTAAAGACAGCAAATAATAATACTACTACAAAGAACAAAACTAAGAGTTGTAAGGCATCACATACAGAGTGCAGACGGGGTAGTGAGTGTGCATAGTGGGAGGTTTATTGGAAGAAAAAGTGAAGAATCAAATGAGAGGGTGGGTACTTGGGGGGGGGGTCAAGGCCCGGGGGAAAGGCAATAGAGGAGGTGAAGGGGAATGGTATATGGATAGGATAGGGAAGGAAGAAGGTATGGGGAAAGGCAATGGTGTAAGAGGGGTACAGTACAGGAGAGCAGGAGGGCGGAGGGCTGAGAGGAAGGGGATAACAATAGTCGGCAAAAGGGTGTGAAGATAAAAAGAGAAAAAAAGAGGTATTACGGCAGAGTTAGGCTAAGGGAGCCTAAAGAAAGAAAATAAACTATAGAACAGTTAGTATATCTAGACTATTTATGTGGTTATGGAGTACCTAGGAGAATATTGAAAACTGGAAAACCATGATATTCACTGATCTCATACAATCCTCTATAGAAGCAACGTGTCATAAATGTGGCTTGGCATGGAAAAGGTTTTCACATGACGCATAATTATGAGTCATAGGTATGTTATTGTTTTACACATAGGACTCATTTGGGTCATATGATTTATTATGTTACGATTTGTTAAGTTTTGCACATAACTCAAATAAGAGTCATGGGATATGCGCCTGGCGAGTATGCCTTGCAAAGGTGCCTTGCGGGTATGCCTTGCTCATATGATTTATATTTAGCACATGTGACCATTTGGGTCATATGACTTGTTTATTGCATTATGATTGGCTTATGAGTTTTAGCACATGACCTCACTATGAGGTCATGGGTTTTGAGCATGTGACCACTTTGGTCATATGACTAGTTTGTTATGATTTGGTTTCGCACATGTGACCACTTTGGGTCACATGACTATGGGCAGGAAGAATACTATATAAGGAGACCGATGCGGCTAAGAAGGATAGGTTCTTCACGCTTTGTTCTAAGTACTTTTCCTATTTCTTGCACTCGGTATTGGAAGTAAGTGCACTAATACTTTACCTTATCTCGCTGGTGATAAATACTTCATCTGCTATTGCTTGTTTGTGTTTATCATTTCGGGCGGTCGGTTAGAAGTTGGTTGTTCTCGCTTAGAAAGTACTTTAGTGTGAGATATTCGTAGCCTGGTCCCGGTAATTACTGAGTGTAGTTTGGGCGAGGATTGCATCTTCGACAGCCCCCTCTTCTATGGATTCTTCCCCCTCTTCGAGGATGTCATCTCCCATCCAATATGACTCCAACCCTTCCTCCTCGCTTGAGACAGCCCGTGCGGCTTTGTCTCTTGTGCCTGATACTGAGGCCAACCGTGGCCTTATCCCTATAACTACACAGTCATATGTTGCACCCAAAGGAAACTTTAGTTTCCTACAGTTTTACCACTGTCATGTGTATTGAAATGTGGGGAACAAGCAGTTTGATGATTTGTTTCGGCAAACGGTCACTGACACGACCATTGCTACGATGAAAGAAGTAGAGGTTTTGTTGAATGGTTTTCTAATTTGGAGAGGCTTTTCAGCCACGTGTGACTTGAACAAGGACACCACTACAGGACTCTTTGTTTGGTTCAACTCCAATCACGGCTCGGAATACTCTCCAACTCCGGCACCCTCCCCCTCCAAAGACTCTTAGGCCATCGTCCCAGAATCCTCTATACTACTGACCGAAAGTGACTCGGCTATGGCTGCATCTACGGTTGAGGCAAGTTCATGGTCTGCTACCTCTCTCCTCACTAGGGCTGTCCAAAGTAAGATGACCAGTTTCCTCTACCAGACTCCTGTATGCAAGGCTGGCTCATCCACTTCTTCCTTTTCGGACAGGATGTCATTTGGAGAAAGGGCTCTTTATGAGACCCAAAGTTCAGATTAGATGACCCTGAGGATGAGGATTACAAGCCTCCTACCACTGGCAAATAGTGCCGTGCATGATCGGTATCTCCCGCTAAGCGATCTGCTACTCCTGTTCTGGGGCCATAGTTTATGAGGGCAATCAATGTCAATGAATGCGGGAAAAAGCAGATCATTTCCAACCTCCCTGGCCTGCCCCTTGATGTACATCATAGGCGCCTGGCTGTTCCCCCACCTATGAGTCTCCCATCGACCATTGAGGCTACACCACCCCCATCTCTACTAGTAACCGAAGACATCCTGCCTACTTCCGAGGTGTTGGCTTGGGATAATCCCAAGGATTTGGAAGAAGGATGTAACTCCAAAGCAACTGGACTGGGTGACAGTATCCACACCCCCTCACCAGCAATGGCATCATTACCAGCGGACCTTAATAGAGAGTGGACCCGGCCGGAAGTACAGCTATTTAACTCTTGAGAAGCCTCGCACAACGTCCAAACACCATTGGAGGTTCAGCTTCCTGACACCCAACCTGAGGAATCTGATGCTGCCATGGCCTAGGTAGATTCAATTATGGCAGGAGTATGCAAGATGCTTAATGCAGGTAGGACTCCCTCTCGGGGACCCTGCTCGGGTAGTATAATTGGATCCATGTTGGAAGGGCTGGAGGACATCCGGTCTGGCAACACTCAGCTCCTCCTCTCCTCGGAATCTGAGTTGATTGAGGATGATACAGTACACGATGTCTGGGCCTGGATAGACAATAGCGCTGCGTTTGGTAATAAACGACTAGAGGGTGGAGTGAATTACTAGTGCCGTGTACACGTGCTGGAATGGGTGGTGAAGTCGCTGACAGACATTGTTGGCAAGCAAGGGAAAGAGATAGAGACCCTACAAGGTAAGTTGTCCCCCCACTACTGATCCTCTTCAGTAATGTCCGGCAATGCCCCATCTATGTTGTTGGGAACTACACCACCCCCTGCCCCCGTTAAGGGAAAGGAAACTAGTATGGCGGCTCCTACAGCTAAAGCCTCCTTCATGGAGGTAGTGAAACGGATGGCATATGTGCTCAAGCCTCCCACCGCTCAAAAAGAGCATGCACCCTACACCTGTCCCACATCAGCAGCCTCCTCCCACCAG